GTTTCCATTTTTTCCTTTTCTCGTGTTTCTCTTTTCCCTGCTCTCCTTTCCCCTGCCCTTCCTACTTCCCCTACTCCTTTAGCCCCCTCTTTTTCTCTATTTCACATTCTCTATTCTTTATTTACTGCTAAAATCCTCCTTGGGTTTTTAGATTTATGAAGACTATCATGAAGAGAATATTCTTTATAAGAAAAGGTAGCCCACTTCTTTCCACCTTTTGGGTTATACTTTGACCTAATGTTTAATGTTATCTTTATAAGAAAAGGTAGCCCACTTCTTTCCACCTTTTGGGTTATACTTTGACCTAATGTTTTAGTGTTTGTACTTGTGCTTACTTTTGCGCCTTGTTAGGATTTGTTGAAGGTGCTGGTACATAGGCTTAGTGAACAAAGAGTGGTAAGGTTTATTGGGGTTTATCGATTATAGAACAGACTACTCTAGGTGGTTATAAAGCACCAGCAAGTTCTATGAGTTGTAAGCTGTTGCAAGTAGTACTATGGTGGAGAATTTTGTTATTAAAGTTTTTATGTTTATGGCTAAGCATAGTGAGATATCTGATCCCAATTTGAGTCTTAGCTGTCGTGTGTTCAGATTTATGAGGGTTATTTTCATATATGACTTTTATTTTATCTGTAGTTTTTATATTTTTTCTAAAACACTTTTTACACCAGGATTTATTGATTTGGATGAATCATCAACCATGGTGGCTGGCATGAAACTTATAAACCCTAAATTTTGTTCTATGACGTAGTCAAACTTTTGTTTATTGCTTAATTTTTATCACTGGTTTCCCATGCATGTGTGGTTAAGAGATGTTATGAGCCCCCAGTGAAGTGTCCTTGTTTCTATTCTGTATCTCTCCTTTATTTCTGATTGTTAGGAACTGTGTATATCTCCCTTGTTTCTAATAGATAGCTTTGGTTTGTGCAGTTTTCTTTCTTGGAAGTTTATCTTATTCAGCATGTGAAAATTGCATCTTCCTTATAGTCTGTAAGATCTGCTAAAAAAAAAACCTGCTGTCAGGCTACAGAAACATCATTATATGGTTTTCATTCCTTTCTCTTTTGAGGATCATCTTTTTATACTTAACCTTTGAAAGCTTGATTATAACATGTCTTGGAACAGACTTGATTTTCTTGACTCGGATTGGTGCCCTTTGACCTTTGTGTACTGGTATACCTGTATGTTTTAAGGTTTAAGAATATTTCTATTATTATCTCTCAATAAGTTTTCTACCCACTTTGGCATTCTCAAGTTCCTTTTCAACACAGGTAATACTAATATTTGCTCTTTCAATGCAGTCCCCAAAGTTTCTCCTGAAAGCTTTCTTCGTTCCTCTTCACTTTTTTCTTCCTTTTCTCCTCCAGCAGTGTGTTTTTGATCAGTCTTGTTTTGAGCTTACTGATTTTTGTGTTTGGTCCAGTTGGTGCCTCCTAGTACATTTTTCCTTTCAATTAATGTCTTTTTCTGTTCAAGGATTTCTGTTTTATTTTTAGTTACTTCAGTATTTTGTTAAGATAAAATACTGAGGTGCTTCTCTGTGTTTTCTTGATATTCATTGAGTTTCCTTAAAATGCCTATTTTATTTTTTTTCCTTATTGAGTTTATTGGTACATTTTAGGGATACAGTACAGTTACATTCATCGTTGGGATCCTGTACCTTTACATGACAGGTCTTGGTTCTCATTTTTCCCCTTGTCCCTGCCTTCCCTTTACCCCCTTCTCCCCTCCCTGCTTACACTTTATTTCCATTTTCTCCTATTTTTTCTTTTCCCTTATTCCCTTTCCCCTACCCTTCCCACTTTCCCTACACCTTTGGCCCTTTTCTTCCTATTTCACATGGTCAGTTATATCATTAGGATCTTATGTACTATTATAGTTTTTCACACTAAAATGCCTATTTTAAATTCTCTGAGCATTTGTATCTAGTTACTGCTATAAGTTAGTTATTAGCATCTTATTTTGTCTGTTATATACCGTCATAATTCTCGGTAAGTTATTAATTCATGTTGGCACACAACAATGTCTGTACATTAAAGGTTTAGGTGTCTTTTCCAGCCCTCATAATCCGATTTATTTGTGCCTGTTCTAGAAATTCTCAGTGGGCTGCTTAGTTTCTCTGAGGCTGTGCTCATTGCAGTACATGGTGCCCAAAGTTCCGATTTGCTGCACGTCGACAGCTCATTGCCACTGTTCGAGCGCTAGAGGGCATTCCAGGCTGAAGTGTGTCATAAATCCACAGACGGTGCTGGGCGAGTTGTAGTGGAGGGGTGCCCAGAATGGTAGTTTATTTCTTCAAGTTTCCGTCTAGTGCCAGGGTGAGACCAGACGCTTCAAGCAGAGTCACTATCCCAAGGTGTCCCACCGCAGGATTCTGCCTGATAGTGGAGGAGCTACACTAAGGCTCCTGGGCTGCTGAGCACTTGCCTACCACGTCCTTTTCTCCTAAGCTGACAGTGCTGCCTGGGGTTAGGTAAGAGATAGGGATAGGGTCTCCCAGCTGTCACTGCCACTGCTCTGGTTTGCTCCCAGAGCTCAGGGCTTGCTGAAACCAGTGCAGCACAGAGCAGGGCCAAGACTTCTTCTGCCATGTTATGCATGCTGCCATGGTGTACTTGAAGCTTGAGACCACTGTACGGAGCCACAGGTTTTTGCCTGGTACCAGGGCAGATCTAGAAGCTCTGTCTGTGGACACCGGTCAGGGTTCAGGGCTGTTGGGGTCTGCCCAGTGTTGGGTTTCACTGGATGTTGAGTTTTAAGGCAAACTCCTGTGCTAACTTCCCTGTCCTACTGTACGTGGGTCATCCCTGCACCCCGAGCTTTCTGAGGTTAGGGAAGTCTAGTGGAGACAGTCCTTTGAGTGTGAGGCTGGGGGTCGCAGAGCTTCTGTGTGTGGCACTGCCTTGGATTCTACAAGGCTTGGTTTACCACAGCAGGCCTTGTACAGTGTTCCACATCTAAGATCTGGACTTAATTCTCTTTTCTCTCCCCGGTGGGAGGAGTCTTTGTCCACACCACTGTGCTTTAGGAGGGAATGTGCCTAAATGTCTTCTTCAGTGTCTCTTTATTAGTATACTAAGTCCAGATACTGTGATCTCTCACTTGATTTCCTTAGCTCTTGAGAAGGTAGTAATAGGCGTGAATAGTTGTTCAAATTTATGTTTCTGTAGACAACATTATACTACCTCCATTTCTCTGTGGAAATGTGTTAAACTAAAAGGCAGCAGTAAGACATTTAGCAAAGATAGTACAATTCTGAGTATATGAGGGAGCCAAACAAGTTAAACACTTTTTAAAAAATAAGTAGTTATGGGCTGGGGATTTAGCTCAGTGGTTCTGCTGCCTGCCTTACAAGTGCAGGGACCCGAGTTCAATCCCCAGTACCCCCCCGAAAAAAAAGTAGTTACGTGGTCTTAGTTAACAATTTTTAATAACTGGAAGCTAGGATTTATTCTAAAACACAAAGCTTATTTCCTTAATCCTTAAATTTTCAGTATTTTTAAAACATAAAATCTCTTTTCTGAAATCGTGAAATTCTGTATTTGTTAGATATTTCTTGGATCATTTGTTACATGATTTCTAGGCTGCTTTGTCTTAGTAGTAGCCATGATGGAATAAACATGTTAAGTCTGTAATGTCTTCCATTTTTTATTTTTAAATATGAGTATTTAAACATTTAAAGACCTAGTTGAGAGACTACTCAGGTTCAACAAAATATTGTCTAGCTTAACAAGTGTTGTGTGTACACTGTCATCAGAATTCCTAAAGAGTAGCAGAAAACGTGGCTAAATATTTACAAAAATTTTTCTGTTGTGGAATTGAAATAGTAATTTGTACCAGAAGAAATACAACTGTTCTTGAAAAAAACAAATGATTTCCCCAAAAGGCTATATTACGGATCTTAAATTGCTTCACCAGCATGATTTTATATCACTTACATCACACGGGATATTTGCTTGATGAAAGTGCAAAGCCATATAACTCATACTCTGTCTAGCAGAGTCGTTTTTCAAACTCTTGAGGATGCAGGATGAAAGCGATCGCTGCCGGATATCCCACCTCTTTCTAAAATGCTTACGGAAGGGCGAGGTGAGGAAACACCGCGTTTAGTAAGGATCAGGGTGGATACAGCGCCGCCCCCGTTCCCAGCAGAGCTTCCTGAAAGTGCAGTGAAATGTCGGGACCCGGCTAGGTGGGAGGTGAGGTGACAGGAGTCTGGAGAGGTCTCTCGTTTGGGTTTAACTCAACTTCTTTTAAGTAATTTTGCCACACTAGGTCAGTTATTAGTAGCTAGGCAGGTCCAGAGAAAGAAGAGTTGGTAAATTATACTTCATAAGGGGCCACTAGTCATTCCTATTCGTAGTGTCTTGTAAATAAATAGCAGTGGCCATCAAGCTGTCTTTATAAATGATGGGATAAAAACTTATAACCACTGTAAAACTGGCATGAATTTAATAACTCCGGGCACTCCCAGAGTTTTATTTCAGTTTTGCACTCAGTCTCAGCTCATCTCCAGAAACTTTTACAAATGGACTACTTTAATTTGTCTCTACTGTCTGAATTCCTAATGTTCTGTCAGAAGTATTTATGGCAAAAGGAGTATTCCAGAGCTGGAAACAGTAAGCAGTGGGAAGGAGCCTGCATTTCCAAGCTAGATCCTGAAACTGTAGGAAAATTTCAATAGATTAGGGCTTATTTGGGATGACAAAGCTAGAGGCCAACTTCAGTGATGAGGCTAGAGTTTCTTAGGCATAGTTATAACCTTGGCTCATCTGACTTTTTTATGGGCCACTGTCACACTTTGTGCGGTTGATGGGCGTGGTGCATGCCTCACACTGCAGAGAACAGCTCCTGAGCACTCAGCTCAGGATTTAATACCCGTTCTCACCTATAAGTCCACAAAGTCATCTCCATTGAATTAATTACTGATTTAGTCAATTTCGTATTATTCCCTCCCCCTTGGGACACTTATTTTATTTTCATCATTTCTTCTCTTTCAGCTCTTCTTTACGCAACTATTTTTGGAAACGTTACCACAATTTTCCAGCAAATGTATGCCAACACCAACCGATACCATGAGATGCTGAATAATGTTCGGGACTTTCTGAAACTCTATCAGGTCCCAAAAGGCCTTAGTGAACGAGTCATGGATTACATTGTCTCTACGTGGTCCATGTCAAAAGGCATTGACACGGAGAAGGTAGGGGTTGTTGTTGTTATTGTTACTAATTTTATGTTTAAGCTGGATCTTTAGATATACGTGACTTTCCCACACACACGTTGCTTGCCCCTGTTGTCGCTTTGTGAATGTTCCTCAGCAAGTGACATTTCAATCTATCATATTCATTCAGTACTTGGAAGGTGTAAAGCACTTAATTAATCATCAATTAGTGCAAGTCATGATACTCAATTTAGGAAATTCAGTTCCTGAAAACAACTAATTACTCCATTTCCCTAACACATGCTCATCACCACCCATCGTAACTTGTATCGTAACTGAAACTCTTAAGAGTGTTGTTGTTTCTCCTGCTGATTTGATTCTTGGTTTCTCCTTTGACTCTCGATTTAAAGATTAAAAACTTCCCTGCTATAAAAGAAAAACCTATGTATTTTCCATGTATCCTCCATTTGTATTTCTCCTCTTTCTCACACATCTAATAAAGTAACTTAATTCTTTATTTTCCTGATGCATTTCTATAAAAAGGAAACTTCCCTCTCCAATTATCCAGCATCCCTAGTTTTCCTTGATAGTTTCATGGAACTACTTTTAATTTTTCTATTTACCTCTTATTTTGGCAAAAGACACAACATCTCTCTTATAATGAAGAAAGACATGAAAAACTTATTTATTACATCTAGTTGGTCCACGTCAAACAAAAAACATGGCTGTTTTGCACTTGGAGTTTTAAAGAAAACCAGTCTTCAGCTTTTAACTTTATAATGTCAGTGGAATCTACCCATTTTAGATACTGATTTTTAATGTATGATACTCAAATGGCCCAATACTTTCCTTGACATCTCCCACAGATATATTCTGTTCATCCTTATGGAGTTGACTTGGGCATTTTTCAGTCTCAAAGGAAAACAGCAAATGACCAAAGTAAATGTTTAGTTAGAGAAGTTTCATCACAAACAAATAGTTGAATGCCACAGCAGGTGTTGCTAGGATTAGATGGTTCAGGTAATGTGAAGGGTACGGAAATCAGACACAGGACTTGAGGAAGAAAAGTGTTCAGAAGAACTGCATGTGAGATTTTCAAGGCAGGTTCCATGGGAGAATCGTGAAGGAAAGTTAATCTGCTCCATTTCTAACACATTACAAAATACAATCTAAATTTCTGAGTTAAATGGCCACTGTCGTGGTACTGATGGCCACAGATGAAAAAAAAAAAACCCTATGATATTTGATTAATATGTGTCTGAACCAATATATGGTATGAAGAGTATTTAAAGAACAAATACAACCTTCATCATGAAGGTGCAGGTAGGAGTTTAAATCATCAAATGCAGGATTTCCTTTGAAGTCTACATTAAACTGAGACCAGGAGGCAGCCTTCTGCTTTGCTGATCCATCTGTAAGATGCTTTTCTTTCCAGGAAATGAAATGGTGTTATGTGGTAGCTAGAAGAAAGCATCAGCAAAATATTGTAATAATGACCTTGTATACATTAGAAAAAGCCTGGCTCAGGGTCTGTGTAATGTGGAAGATTTTTGAGTCCCTGTTCTCTATATTTCCTGATTTTGTGTTGGTTCAGGAATGGAGCTGACTAGTTTTGTTTAATCCAGTCAGATTTTAAAATGTAGAGCTATTTAAAATAGTAAATGGAATAGGTTTTGAAAAGAAAACATTGTGGATGTGTCTCCTCAATGGAACATTCTGAGGTTTTTTGTTTTGTTTTTGCTTACTGAAAAACTTTGTATTAACCTTTAATGATTATACATATGTATGGAGGATAGCATGGGATTTCAGTATACCTATACAGTGTATTCGAATCAAATCAAGATAATTAGCATTTTTTATTTTGTTATTTTTTATGTTTAGAATCTTTGAGAGCCTCTCTTCTAGGTTTTTTTTTTTTTTTTTTTTTTTTTTTTTTGTAAGTACTGGGGATTGAACTCAGGACCTTGTGCTTGCAAGACAGGCAGTGGACTCACTGAGCTAAATCCCTGGCACTCTTCTAGTTCTTATTAAGATACATAGTAGATTTTTGTGAAATATCCCGTACCCCATGGTGTATGGAACACTAGGAAATATTCCTTCTAACTACCTGTACAAATGATTATAGACAGTTCTCCGAAGAAGAAACACATGTGGCCAATAACATGAAAAACCACTCAATATCATTAGTTGTCAGTGAAATGTAAATCAAAGCTATAGTGAGATATCACTGTACCTCAGTTAGAATGCCCGGCATCAAAAATATAAGGGCTAAAGGTGTAGGGGAAATGGGGAGGGGAGGGGAAAGGAAATAAGGGAAAAGAAAAAACATGAGAAAAGGAAAAAAATGGAAACAAAGTCTTTGTAAATAGGGAAGGGTGGAGGGGGTGAAGGGAAGGCAGGGGAATGTGGAAAAAATGAGAACCAAGACCTGTCATGGAAAGGTACAAGATCCCAATGATGAATGTAACTGTACTGTACACCTAAAAAGTACCAATGAACTCAATGGAAAAAAAAACAAAACATAAAAATAACAAATGCTTCTGAGTGTGGAGAAAAGGGAACTCATATACTGTTGGAGGAAATGTAAATAGTAGAGCTATGATGGAGAGCACTGTGGAAGTGCCTCAAAAAACTGGAAACAGCTCTACTACAGGACACAGTTACCCCACTTCTGGGTGTAGATGCAGTGAAATGGAGTCAGCATGTCAGAGAAACGCCCGCACTCCCTTGCAGCAGTAGTCATAAGAGCTAAGATATGGAATCAGCCTTGGTGTCCATTGACAGGCAAATGGAGAAAGAAAATGTGGTATAAATATGCAGTGGGCTGTTATTCAGCCATAAGAAAGAATGAAATCCTGATGCACAGCAAAGTGGATGAAACTTGAGAACATTGTGTTAGGTGAAATAAGCCAGATACAAAAGACAAATATCACTTATTTATTCTCAGAAGCTAAAAAAGTTGATTTGAATGTAGAATATGATAGAAGATGTGTGTATGGGGTGGGTGTTTGGAGGAGTGTTGGATAACAGCTGTCAAAACACAGAGTTGTTTTTGACCAATAGGAGAAGCATTGTATATTTAAGTAACTGTGAGATATATACATGTTTTGTTGTGCATATATAAGACATATTATATGACAATTTCTTTCACTCTGCTAAGAAAACCTCCACCCAGATGCATAAAACTCGGGTAGCAGTACTATAAATGAAAAGAAGGAAGAAAAGACACATGAAGTTCTGCAAAGGGACTGTAGGGATTTCTAGCAATTATATCCTCAATGAAACTGAATTTTAAAATTCTTCTTAGACAACACACCATATGCTGTGCTGCACAAGAAAAAACAAAAGCTGGCATCCACTTCTATCGTTCAGTAGAGAACATAACAAAGCCACAATCTCCCTTGCCGATTAGGTATTCAGTTATTTAAGAAGTGAATAGTGTATATAACATATAACTTCAAAATATTATAACAAAATGTCAAGTAATTAATAACCAAAGCAAAAGAGGGAATAAATAACAAAAGATAGACATCACTATAAATAAAAACTGAGCACAAGTTGAAGAACAAATTGCAAAGCTATAATAGATAATTAGAATGAATATAAAAGGAACTAAAACTCTTAAGAAAATATGAGTCTTCCCATGTGAACTAATACAAATATTAAAACTACCAGCCAAATAAACAATGTGAGACAAAGATGAGTGGGGATATTAAACTTCACTTGTACATGTTAAAATAATGTAATGCTTAACAATGTCACAGATTTGGCTAAAAAATGTGAAATTTCTCATTCTCAAAGGCCATGAACATCAAAAGAGGCACAACATTTGCAACACCCATGAGCAGTGAAAAAGTAATTATATTAATATGTAAATTGATGTTGCAAATCAATAAGAGTTAGAATGCATTGGGAGAAAAATGAGCGAAAGACGCAGGTAAATTATAGAAGACAAAAGTATAAGTTGCCAATGAACGTATAAAAGTGCGTATGTTTACTTAGAGTAAGAATTGAAAGAGTAAACCACTTCTAATGTGAAATGGACGAACATGATGCCCAGTGTTAGCAAAGGTACTAGTGACTGGTGGCTCTATGGCAGTGGTGGTCAACCTATATGGCACATGTGCCTCAGTGGGCTGTTTGTATCCCTGAAAGCTCTGAAAGGTTCGCCATCACTGCTCTATGGTATAATCCTGCTTATAGAAATGGGTAGAACGTTTCCTGAAAACAACTTGACTGGGAGTTATGTAATATGCATTTGGGGGAACCCAAGACCCCAGTTTGGAGTCTCCCCTTTTCTTGTGTTTAGTTCATTAATTTTATTGGTACATCTGCAGTACATAATATGCTGACAGTCACTGTTGGGAACTTGTACCTTTATATAATACATCTTGGTCCTTATTTTGTCCCCCATTCCTCTACCCTTTCTTCATCGGCTCCACCCCTCGCCATTTACAAAGCCTTTTTTCCATTTTTTCCTTTTCTCATATTTATTCCTTTCCCATTTTCATTTCCCTACCCCTCCCGCATCCCCTTCCCCTCTGAGCCCTTTCTTCCTATTTTATATTGTCTATTATACATTTTGATCCTTATTTACACTTTCAGTTTCTCACACCAGAGAAGCAACTCGGCTTTTACACCTGTGTGTCCTTTTTATCTCGCGTAAGAGTGTGGCCTCCATGTGCATCCATTTAGCTATAGATGCCTCAATAGTTTCTCATTTTAGGGCTGAGTACTACTCCCCTTTTCTATCTTCATCCCTCCAATGATATCATTTAATTGTATGAGTTTAAGAATATATGGTAACCACACCCACTATGAATACTCATCTTGGATCTGCCTTTTGAACTGTAAACTCTCCTGCCCATCTGCTCATCCTGCCAAATGAAGTTCTTCCAAATTGATCCCTAACCATCTCGTAAAAACTTGTTCTACAGACATCGTTCCCCAGGGCAGTTAATGGAAACTCTGCCCTTCAGGTGCTCAGGACAAAGTGCCCTACGTTTAAGTCTCCATAAGATATTTTTGCTCTACCTCCA